GGGGCGATAAATATATGTTATTCACATCAAATAATAGTGTCGTGTTCGAAAACAAGTCTTTCTGGAGGCGTTGCGTACATTTTCCTACTTGCCCTTATTTACCCTTATTTTCCTCGACTTTTTTAAACGTGTACGATTTTGCTTCAAAACACGATGGGACGATAAATATATGTTATCCACATCAAATAATGGTGCTGTGTTAGAAAACAAGTCTTTCTGGTGATGTTGCGTACATCTTCGTACTTGCCCCTATTTATCCTTATCTTCCTCGACTATTGCTTCAAAATACGATGGGGCGATAAATATAGATTATTCACATCAAATAATAATGTCGTGTTCGAAAACAAGTCTTTCTGGAGACGTTGCGTAAATTTTCGTACTTGCCCCATTTATCCTTATTTTCTTTGACTTTTTTAAACGTGTAAGTTTTGCTTCAAAACCCGATGGCGCGATAAATATATGTTATCCACATCAAATAATGGTGCCGTGTTCAAAAACAAGTCTTTCCGGAGACGTTGCGTACATTTTTCGTACTTGCCCCTATTTACCCTTATTTTCCTCGACTTTTTTAAACGTGTACGATTTTGCTTCAAAACACGATGGGGCGATAAATATATGTTATCCACATCAAATATTGGTGCCGTGTTCGAAAACAAGTCTTTTCAGAGATGTTGCTTACATTTTTCGTACTTGCCCCCATTTACCCTTATTTTCCTCGATTTTTTTATATGTGTACGATTTTACTTCAAAACACGATGGGGCGATAAATATATGTTATCCACATCAAATAATAAGTCCGTGCTCGATAACAAGTCTTTCCGGAGACGTTGCGTACATTTTCGTACTTGCCTCTATTTACCCTTATTTTCCTCGACTTTTTTAAACGTGTACTGTTTGGCTTCAAAACACGATGGGGCGATAAACATATGTTATTTACATCAAATAATGGTGTCGTGTTCAAAAACAAGTCTTTTCTGAGACGTTGCTTACATTTTTCGTACTTGCCCCCATTTACCCTTATATTCCTCGACTTTTTTAAACGTGTACGATGTTTCTTCAAAACACGATGGGATGATAAATATATGTTATCCACATCAAATAATTGTGTCGTGTTCGAAATCAAGTCTTTCCGGAGATATTGCGTATATATTCGTACTTGCCCCCATTTACCCTTATTTTTCTCGAATTTTTTAAGCGTGTACGATTTTGCTTCAAAACACGATGGGGCGATAAATATATGTTATCCACATCAAATAATGGTGTCGTGTTCGAAAACAAGTCTTTTCGGAGACGTTGCTTACATTTTGCATACTTGCCCCCATTTACCCTTATTATTCTCGACTTTTTTAAATATGTACAATTTTGCTTCAAAACACGATGGATCGATAAATATATGTTATCCACATCAAATAATGGTGCCGTGTTCGAAAATAAGTCTTTCAGCAGACGTTGCGTACATTTTCGTACTTGCCCCTATTTACCCTTATTTTCCTCAACTTTTTTAAACGTGTAAGATTTTGCTTCAAAACACGATGGGACGATAAATATATGTTATCCACATCAAATAATGGTGTTGTGTTCGAAAACAAGTCTTTCCGGAGACGTTTCGTACATTTAAGTACTTGCCCCTATTTACCCTTCTTTTTTCTCGACTTTTTTAAACGTGTACGATTTTGCTTCAAAACACGATGGGGCGATAATTATATGTTATCCACATCAACTAATGGTGTCATTTTCGAAAACATGTCTTTCCGGAGATGTTGTGTATATTTTCGTACTTGCCCCTATTTACCCTTATTTTCCTCGACTTTTTTAAACGTGTACGATTTTGCTTCAAAACACGATGGGGCAATAAATATATGTTATCCACATCAAATAATGGTGTCGTGTTCGAAAACAAGACTTTCTGGAGACATTGCTTACATTTTTCACACTTGCCTCCATGTACCTTATTTTCCT